TACGAAAATAGACGGAGACCATACGTGTCCCAGCCTTCACATGACAGTGATAGGACCATGGCCAAAGCCAGCTGGACCTGCAGCTAGAAAGCACTATACCCTTCCTATGACCTGCTGAGCCACAGCTCCTCCAAGCTTCTCACTGATAACACTCCACCGTTCTCCTCCGTGGCTCCATATTTGCCTGGAGCTTTTTGAGCTGTAAATTTGGAGCAATGTCTTATGTTAAAAATAGCCAGATCACATCGAATTAACTTTTTAGCTAGGCCAGCATCTTGTCTCTGATGGTAACCAGCTGCAGATTCCCAGAAAGTCCACAAGAATAAAGTCAACATATTCCTGATATTACTTTTGTGATTTGTGGCTCAGGGGATTTCTAAGCTACATTTGGTATCATGTTAATTTTTTCTTCTGTAAAATCATTCAAATGTTTTTGAGTCTATTTGTAGACTTTTAACATCTTACAGTGAGGAGATCTACAGCTTCACGTACTGGGAGAAAAAATATCTTTTTTTGCACATTCATATTTTTGCATAAATTATACTTAATGGTCAAATATGCAATGAGGTTCAAACACGCTGTTGTGGTTTAAACCCAGCTGGCAACTCAGCCCCACCCAGCCGCTTGGTCAATCCTCTGCAGTGGGATGGGAGAAAGGTAGAAGTGAGATAAAGTTGAGAGAGTTGAGATAAAAACAGTTTTATAGGTAAAGCAAAAGCTGTGCATACAAGCAAAGCAAAACAAGGAATTCATTCAGCCATCCCAGGAAAGTAGGGCTCCATCACGTGTAACGGTTACTTTGGAAAACAAATGCCCTCACTCCAAAGGTCCCTCCCCTTCCTTCTTCTTCACCCAGCTTTATATGCTAAGCATAATATCACGTGGTATGGAATATCCCTTTGGTCAGTTGGGGTCAGCTGTCCCAGCTGTGTCCCCTCCCAGCTTCCTGTGACCCCTCAGCCTACTCACTTTTGGGGTGGTATGAGAAGCAGAAAAGGCCTTGACTCTGTGCAAGCCCTGCTCAGCAATAATGAAAACATCTCTGCATTACTAACACTGTTTTCAGCACAAATCCAAGACACAGCCCCATACTAGCTACTATGAAGAAAATCAGCTCTATCCCAGCCAAAACCAGCACACAAGGTCCTCTGCCTACAGGACCAAGCGAGTCTTTGGCATATCTCTGCTAAAGCCAAGGAACAAAAAAGGGGCCACATGGCGTCTGACCAAGTCTCGGCCTTCAAAAAAGATACTTGTTTCCAGCTCATTTAATATTATTTAGATTTCCTCAGCTGCCACATGCATGGGAGACCAAGAAAAGGCAGTAGCACTCCCAGATTTGCACAATTCTGAGTCCTGCAAGTTTCAGCTCCATCCAAATGCATCCTGGTAAGATGTATTTGCAACATCATCAAACCAGAATGCACTCTCAAAGAGGACAACACCCCTGCAGCAGGATGAGAGCCTGTGGGATCAGATGGAGCCAGGAACTGTAGAAAAACCGTTTGAAAAACAGGGAAAAGAATGAAACACCACGTTCGCAGTCTATAGCCAAAGGGGAGCAGCGGAGAACAGCCTGGTACACATTGCCCTCTAATGGCAACGAGCACATAGTGCAGGTAGGAATAAAAGTTTGCAGAGTGTTTTCTTAATGAACAAAAAGACAATCTGCGAACAGCTTGCTTTAACCCAAGTGCAGAGTTAAAACGAGTAATAATTAGCACTGCTTTGGGAAAAAGTAGTAATTCTGTGGGACTGAACTTGTCCAACCAGACAGGGTCATCCACATAAGGTCATCCAGACCATCAGCAAGCCTGGGTGGTCTTTCCAGGTCCCAGGGACAGCAGCTCTTCAGATTTCATTGCGTGCCCTGGACCCGGCTCCCCTGGTAGGACAATGCCCAGGGCTAGTGGTGTGCCTTGCCACGATGATACTTTCAGGTGGCCCTCTAAGAGCTAGGCTGAAACTCATATCGCAGTAGAAAAGCCCATACAAGGGAACAAATTTTATCTACTACAAACTTATTATCTATGAGGATAGAGTTGAAAACTTTTAAATCCCAATCATAAAACTCCTCTAAAAGTGACACCCATACATGCAAGAGGGACTCAAGCTGGAATGAAAAGCATTTTTCAGCTTGTGAGCATCAACATTTTTGTCCTGCTGATCCAACGTTAACATGCTTGATTTGAAATCAAACCCAGTTCTCCTTACTTGTGTCAATGAAGACAGCATCCACGTAGATTTTGGTACAGAAGGAGCCCAAGATAAATCCACAGGCTGGTCCAAATACCAGCATCGTAAACAGGATCCCTGCAAGGAGAAAGAAAAGAGAAAATTAGTATTAGGCTCAGGTTATTCATTGCAAGTGGTTCTGCTTGTCTCCTGCAAGATGCTCTTGCCCTACTGATGCCAAATAGATTGAGATATGTCTCTGTGTTGAATGCTTCAGGCAAAACAGCACCCTAAATGCTTTTTGCTTTTGAGTATCTCTTCAGGAAAAGGAGCAGATGAAGCTGTGATAACACTGAACGATTTCTATTGAGCTGAGAAGACAGTGCGGATGTATACTGTGTTTTGGTTGGCTGGCTGCTCTAGAAGATGTCTTACTCAAAAGCACAAGGTAAAACAGACCTGCCTTCTCCCCACAAGGAAGCCTTTACCTTTACCACCTCCAGCTAAATTCTTGGTAGACAAGAATGTTTGCAGAGTTTAGGGCCAGCAAATCTGTGAAATGCAGAGTTGCCACAGACTGCTGGATAAAGTTCCTTTACAGAGGTAGGGGCACTCTTCCAAATCTGTGAAGCCCTTCTACCCACCATACTCACACGGCAAATATTCCCCAAGGCACATGGTTCTTCCAACTTCACACAACTGTTTGCTCCTCCTGCAAAAACTGCATGAAATTGCCAGTGTATTGCCAGGCGGAGAGCTATTATAAGCAAATTACTTATTTGCTTCAATACAATATCTAGAAGCATTTATTCTCACTCCCATTTTGGCCCTGAAACAGGAATGCTACAGGCACACTGCCAGCTCTTAATTATCCAGGGAAGAAAGGCAGGGGGACGTAAGGATAATCCAGAAAAAGAAGCAGCAAAGATAACACAAAAAATTTGTTAATTAGACAATAGGAACATCTTTGGTACCTTCACATTTGGAGTAGAAAAACAACAAAAAGTCCCCAAGGACCCTTGTACACAGCTTTCCAAAAGAAGCATGGTCAGGTCCGAGCAGCATGGAACGGAGCAGTGCCCACTCGTTTGCTCTGGCGCCAAACGTTGCTGATGGATCCATGTGTGCGGTGAGGGGGATGGTTCTTTGGAACCCTCGGCCAGGGATGCACCAGCCTGTGCTGGCACCAGTCTTGGTGACGCTGCACTTCAGAAACATCCCATGAAGGAGCTTGTTTGCATCTGGATGCTTTGCTTGCTCATCTCGGTGCATTCGTAACACACTTCATTGCAGCTATCTCAGCCCCAAAGTTCCTTAACTGGAAACTTTTAATTCCCAAGTTCTCTCTCTGTACGTTTCTCAAGAGCTGGAGAAGTAATCAGAACTGCAAAATATTTCCAGGACACCACCAGCCCCACGCAAGGCAAACCACACCTGCCGAGGACAGCTTAGAGAAGCAGAATAAGCTGGTATGGTCAGAAACAACTTCACCTTCATTTTTACAACGCAGAGAGCAAACTAACTCCTCTACATTTGTAGCACTGGGACTTGGCTGCATTAATAACTAGGTACAAAGCAATGGCATCTCCAGCCAGATGCTCACACAGGAGCCTAGCACGTTAACGCCTGCGTGGCAATTGCCTACAGAAGCAAGAGGGAGAAACAAAGGTGGTGGGAGGAATAACACATCAGGTCGTATGAGCCACGGTAACGAGTCACCGCTGTCAGGACAGCGGCAGAAGTGGCCACCCCTTGCCTGTCTCAGCTCAGCTCCAAGTCGCAGCAATGGCACTATGTTGCAGCCCATGCTGCCAGCTTAAACTAGTCCCCAGAGAATCTGCTCGTGATGTCCATGCCAACAGCCAAGCCAGCCACCTCCTCTCCTGTAGTCACCTTGTCCCTGGGCATCAGGTTTGTGCTCCGCAATCCGGCATTGAGTCGGGGAATTTGTGCCTCTCGATCAACCTGTTCCTTGCTCCCCCAGGGATCTATAAAGCCTCACGTGGGAGATCCCAGTCCCTGGTTACCTGCAGAAGTGCTTTGTGGGATGTGAAATGAAGGACAAGGCAGGTCAGGAGAGCAGGGAAAAGGGATTTCTGCCCAGTGCGCACCCAGCTCCATCTCCCTCTTTCCCAGCCCCAAGGCCTGCCCCACTCAGGGCTATAAAATTTCCAGTGGCATTTTATAAAATATCCACATTGCATTTTTTTTAGTCACTAGATGGCATTAGTGTCTGTCGTGCAACCCATGAGTGCCATGTGGAGCAGGCTGGGTGACGGTGCAGCCCACCATGGCTCCCCAAACACAACCGTGATCGCTACTGGGGTCCTACAGCCACTGGGAGGATCATGCTGACAGCAGGGTGCTGCCTTCACCCACGTATCTGCTGTACGTGCAATCAGGCTGTGCTTTTTGGCTGTTTGCATGCAGGAAATCACAGATTTTAGAACAAACTGTTCTAAAACTGTCAAGTTTTTAGTTGAAGGGTTTAAATACACAACATCTAGCAGAGGAATGGCCATGGTTCTTACTCTGATGAACAAGCTGGCAATCAAAGATCAGGTTTATCTTTGATGACTGAACATTAATTATAAATATCTATGTAATTATGGTCAAGCATACAGGGACACGCTGGGCTTCATATAGTTTGGAGCAGTGCACGTTGTCCCCAGGAGCTGTGCCCAGGGCAGTGGCAAACAGAGCCCACATGTCAGAAGAGGAGCCCTTGGATTTCAGTAGGAGTTATGACATTGCTCTGCTCTTACTTCCCTACCCCAGAAGGTGTAAGGGGAAGAAAAAGCCAAGCAGATCTGAGCATCTCCTCTTTCCAGTCCTGGATCCTCAGCCCCGACCCCGGTACCCAGCAACCAGAGAAACCTGCTCCTCCAGATGTGCCTGAGGACTCTCATCCACAGGGATGACCCTCTCTGAGGGAAGGCTGCTGTGGGCACCAAAGCACTCTGGGCTGCAACAGGTTCCCACAGGCACCAAGGAGCCAACAAGGCTGCTGAACTGCTGTGCCATTGCCTCGATGGGACCTGTGTGTGCAAGCAAGAAGACTGCATGGCCAACAGACAGCTGCTTCCAGGGCACCCACCACCCAGGAGAGGACAGCTCTGGGCATTGCAGGGGACAGGATGAATCAGGCATGACTTGCTCTCCACAGGCAGCAGATATTTGGTTTCCCTTTTTTTGGTTTGTTTGTTTGTTTTTAAAGCCTATTGCTTGTTGATTTTCTGTAACTGTTTAAGAGCTTTGGAGAACTGGGAACACATCAAAATTGTTGTTTGGCACCGATGCAGGCTCACACGGCTAAGCAGGCAGGAGGACAAGGACCAGTTCTAACCCTCTAGGTGACACCTTTGGGTTTGCACCAGTTTTGGGTTGAAGAGGGACAGAAGTTTGTCCCGTGATTGGGTTGTCAGACTGCGTCTATACAGGCAAAACCACAGAACTGAAGTGTGCTTCATGGAGTAACAGGTAAGACAAAGACCATTGAAAAATATCATCCTTCATCAAAAAATCCCAGGGAAGATGTTCCCCTTTTTCCAAAGCAGAAGAAAGCAGGGACCTTTGGCTAGCGATCCATCAGCAGCAGGGAGATGCTTGCAGGGGCAATCAACTCAAATCAAAAGCAAACGTCAAGAAAGCTGTGGCCAGTGCAGGTGCACACACCAGCACCTGCGACAGGTGAATGCTGCCCCTCCTGGCACTATCTGCACTGCGTGGCAAACCACCGCTTCAGAAACAAGCTGTGGCCTCAGGTATTAAAATACCACATTTCATCTCCTGGCAGCTGAAAGCTGGAAGACATTCACTCTGGAACATCCTCGCTAGAGGGCAATGTGGGATAGAGCATCCACTGAGCAGGGACATAGCTATTGAAGATCTTACAATAAGATATTAAATTATTATTCACCTCTAGGCTAGCTTAAGAAACCCTCATGTTAATTGTGGTTTTACTTTTCCCATAGTCTTTCTTAAAATGAAGAAAACACCAGGCTCACCCTATGCCCTTTTCGTTATCTTCATTCAAGACTCCAACAAATCCTACCGTTGCAATAATAGTATTTTACACTTTATGCCACAAATCAAACAAGTCTTGGAGAAACCCAAGGCATGGATTGTTATGATGGATAGTTTAGGCCCTCCAGAGAGCTGGACCGTGCTCCGGGGTCAACAGAGCACATGACTGGGCATAAGAACTAGGTTATGAGGTGACTGGGATACTGCCTGTGGTTGAACATATCTGTGGAATTGAAGGCTTAAGGGGAAATTACCCAAGTTAGAGTTAGCTTAAGACATCCTTTCTCTTTCAGGAAATTCTGCATGATTGCTAGCCATCCCCATTACTAGGAAAACACTTTCCACATCATTCACCTGGTCATGAAACCACAAAGCTGCTGCTTAGTAGAGGATGAAGTCTAGCAAAACCCCTTTTCCCAGTCCTGGGGTTGCTGCTAGGGATAAACATGTGCTAAACTTGTGGCTAGCTTTAACACCACTTGCTAGGTCTTTCCCCGTGTTTCCCTCTAGTTTTTAAATCAGCTTGACTTGATAGAGCCAGAAGGCACTTAATACCAGGAGCAAACAGATCAAAGGTCTAATCCTGGCTCCATCAGTCTCTTCTGAAGCTCCTATTGATGGCAACAAACCTGGTGATCAGTACAGGAGACTGCAGCCTCTCCCTTTTCACTCTCAGCTTAAAATTTATTTCCATTGCTCAGAGCAGTACAGTCAGTAACAAACATCCATCCTCCTTGTAAGGAGAAAGGGAAAACATCCAAGACTGTCCTGGAAACAAATGCTTCTTGCTCTGCAAAGCTGGCTGACCCTCTTCAAAGGGGTCTCTGCTTGGTCCTGCATCCAACGTTTCAAGGAGTGGGGCTTTTCTTTTCTGCAATGTAGTCAGCCCTACACAGACTAGTGAAAGCAGGATGAGAAAGGTTTCTTTCTCCTTTATGTAATTTAGTGTGTGGGTTTTTTTTTTTATTTCCAATCTTAGAATCATTCTTTTTAAAATTCCTTCTAAATTATGGCAATTCTTAGAAAAAAGTCAAGAGCTGCAAATTAAAAAACAAAATGACCTTGTTTTGGGAAAATTCAAACATTTTGTTTAGTAACTCACTTCATTTCAG